AAATGATACAACTTGACATACAGTTTTAGCTCCAAAACACATTTCTTGCCCCAATGTTATAATATCCTACAATTAAGTCAATTTGCTTTAAACTTCAGAAGATCTTTTAAATATATTCCAAAATTAATTTTGTGCTTAAACAAATAAAAATAACAAGTAAACAGCCTTACTTTAGAGTTATTTCTGACACTGGACATTTCAGACCATTCCTGAAGGCCTCAATAAGAGTCAGCTCCTGGGAACTGTTGTTGATACAAGTTACCTGCCCTTGATATGTCCCAAGGACCTCTCCACAATCAAGGGAGACAATACAGCCAACAAAAGCTGATGTCATCTTTTATGTTTCTGTAAATTATAAAGATTGAGAATGATACAATTTGAAATATAAATTCTTAAATTAGCATGGGAAAGACACACTTTTTATGGGAAAGACACTTTTTTTATGTGCAAGTTCAAAATAATGATACTGGTTCTTCCATTATTAACTGTATATCATCACAATTTTTTTTCTTTTTTTTTGAAAGCAAGGGATTTTTAAAATATTAAGGATTCTTACAGAAAAATACCTATCAACCAAATTGAAAAAAAAAAAAATTAAAAGTGATCAATAAAAATTCTCATACAACGGAAAAGTATATATCAAATCGTGGTTTACTTTTATAGTCAATAGATACATTTCTGGGATATTGCAAAGAATAGTGAAACATTGATTTAACACATAGATAGAAAGGATGTTTTGATAACATATTACAAATTATTTACTGAAAACTTGGCAATTTGCCTATTTTTTGCAATGTTAATCCATTTGTACAGTGAAAGTTCAGATAATTAATTGTATATGTGGTATATCTTCCAAAATAAATAAAGTAACAATACCCTGTATAAAAAAGCTGTGAATGTGAACCTGATTAATAGATACTACATCAAATTTATCCAAATCGCCATCTCTACTTCAATTAGAGGTGACACATTAATATGAGCAATGGACTCTCCCTCCCTCTCTCTCTCTCTCTCACACAATAAACTTATGACCATAAATGGCAATAAAACTGAAGACCTCTAAAAACCTACCTTATAATATAATACTAGTAATCTAATTGACTTTTGTACAGATAAGACCAGTTAGTTATGTTTTAGAGTATTCCACATACTTTTATGTATTATATATGATACCCAGAGCCTATTTCACAACACTAACATAATACAACTTTCTGTTCTGTTCTAAATATAAATATCAACCATGACCTTTAAATTTCAATTCTGATTTAATCTCTTCTATCTGTAGTATATGGAGGAACTGTTAAAGACAGAGTTTTGTATCAACAAATACAGTGTCTTAAAATACAATTGTAATTCAGTAATTTATAAATATATATTTCTAGAAGGAGACTATGTAACTGTATAAATTTCATATCAAATAAATTATAATATAAAATTATTTTTTTTCCAAATATAGTCTTACTGAAACTACCTAGGAAACTACCTGCGATTCTCACAAGAAAAACAACAAAAGTTCAGCAAAAAAGTGAAAAATTTGTCTTGATTTAAAGGATATTGCAGATAAATAGTATATAAGATGTTCTTCATTAAAGTCAGCACTGTTGAGGCTTTGTTTTGGTAAAGCAACTTACACACAACGTCCTGTGACATCAGAGTCTACATGCACCAAATGTCACTTGCTGTTTGACGAGCCTGATCTAAATTATGACTGAAATAATTGTCTGCGCTCATCTCAATGGTTGCATCTTCAACACAGTATGCATCTTTGTGGATGCTATACATAGAAAAAAAAATTGGAATGGCCTAACAGTATTAAATATATTGCTAGAAGCGTTGCCTATCCCACTAACTGTCTGGTGGTAAGCAGCAAAACACTTACTTGGGGTTTCTTGCCCTCCAACATTGCAAGATTCAGCTACAATTTTGTTCATATAGTGCAAATGTAGCTAGCACTTATTTCACATATTAATTTAAGTTTTTGGGGAAAATACCCTTAAATTGGGAAAATCATCTAGGGGTCTGGGGGCCACTGCAGACCCCCTAGAGGATGCAGGATGAGCACAATTGGGGAGCCAAACTGAATTTCTTCATTTTAATGACCATTTAGAGGGCATAAAATAGCAAAGTAAAACCATGAGCTTTTAATGATTGTTAGGGGAATGTTTTACACACCAAAAGGGGGAAATTGGGTAGGCGGGGGAAATTTTCTCTTGGGGAAAAATATCAAATATTGGTGGTAAATATGCGGCAGTGTCTATATGCACGACCGTCGTGCACTTACTTTTTCAACAGCTATTCGCACGACCGTCGTGTACACAATTTTTCAGTGACTATTTGCACGACCGTCGTGTTTTTTTTATTTATCAAATGTTTATAGGCCTAATATTTATCAGCTGTTCGCACGACCATTACATTTATTCATACCGTCACTTATTATGGCATTCGTTTTTTTCGTCCCCAGTTAAGTTCGGCACGCAGTAATTAAAGCTTAAAATACATTTTGGTACGAAAACATCGCAAAAACTTTCTTTCATGATGTTAATTTATATAATAAATTGACATATAGGTCCAATCGGCAGGTCATTGTAATGTAAATCTTGTATTTGTATATACACAAGTCATTTTACTTACTATTTTGGTAGGCCTGGGTTTACCCTTTCAACCTCAACCCACATCGAGCCAGGACACATTTGATAAGCATTTTCGCCTACTTTAGTACTGATTTCTTAATACACTTTTTAACCAAAAATTTGTCATAAACCTTAGTTTTATACTGTTATACACGTGAAATCTCAAACTAAACAATAATGATATTTAAATGTTAATAATTCCCTTAATATACTATTTATAAGAATCATCAAGTTTGTGTGGAGTATGTAGTAAATATCGACGTACATGTATGTATCTAAACGATGATAAACTGTTGATAAAGACCACATGTGCCTGTGGACGGGACCCTCCCCCGTGTTCCGTACTCCAAGGGTTCTTTGACTTTTTTGAATAAAATATTTTTTCTATGACATATTCAAAAAGTATTACTAAAAAAAATCCAAAATTTAAGCTTTTATAAAATTGCATACCCTCTGATACTAAAACAGAAGTGTTTTAATCAGAGGATATATTCCCCCGTCCTGTCCCTAGCATCTGTGATAAAGACCACCCTTTAACCAGAAAAACAACATAAATGATTTGAATAATTTTGTGTATGACTGCACTTTATTTTGGTTGAAGGTGGCTTCATCTTTAAAATGGTGAAAAATATATAATTTTTTTCAATTTTTCTTCTCCTATTTTAAGATTTGGCAAGATTCTGTCTTGATTAAATTTATCCATCCAATATCAATGACTTCGTGGTGTGATTGCTGAAATATAAATGGGAGATTCCAAATTTTAGTTGAAGATTTTTTCAGTTGTGTATTTTTTCTATGTTTTCTTTACTACTTTTAAGAAATAAGATGTCATTTCAAGAGTTTCATTGTTATACCTGGGTATGACAGGAAGTTAGTCACCTGATCAAATCCTATTAATGCCTAAAGGGCGTTATAGTAATTTGTGGTCTCTTGGTACCTCTTTTACAATGGATGCTGAATGATCACCCCTCCCCCCTTTCCTTTTTTTCGGTTTCTATTAATCTTCATTATTTTTTTTAAAAAAGATTTGTTTCTTTTTTATGGCTAATAAACTGCTTTATTTACATATTTATGAAACAGAAAAAATTATATTACGATTCGGTTGCATTCTTTGGCACACTTGATCATTGAATAGCTTATAATATTCAATCCTTGTGCTGGTGTGTCCATATATTTTATACATGTATGTAAAATAATCAATCATAACATATCCATGAAAGAAGCTGTACCATAAATAGAAAGGGGTGTGAAGGTGTGAAAAGAAATGACTCTGGAGCCTCACTGAAATGTTGAACACACACGTTGAGCAAACGAACACATTACGATCCGTGGAAGTGCAAATATAACGTGTGTGTTTCGTGCTGAAATCGGCGCGAATCGTCCTACGCGAACCATCTCAGTGCGAAAAAGAATGCGCGAGACATCCCGGATTCCTTGTAAGAAAAAAGCTATTTCATCGTGTGCACATCTCTTGCAATGTGTGATGGCTATTTGCATGATGGTCTTGTAAATAGTTTTTTTACCTATGTGCACGACGGTCGTGTATATATCTCAGCAATTTGCATTAGCTATTCGCACGACGGTCGTGTAAATAGACTTTCTTTACTAGGCGCACGACGGTCGTGTATATATCATCGGCCTTAACATGCCCTATATTAATCCCTGTATTACTTACCAAATTTAAGTGACTTGGTCCCTAGTTTAACTCATGTTATGGGAGGCTGTCAAAGGAATTTTTACTTCAACAGAAACACCCCACAAGGTACCCCAATATGTACGCAATATGTCGGTAATAAAGTTTCCATAGAAATTTCAAGAGTCACGATGAAAAATATATCAATAACATTCAAATTTAATATGTGTCGTTTTGTTCTCATTAACTAAAACTTCTTGATAAAGTTAAGTCTGCTAGACGGTCTACTTCAAAAAAAAAAAAAAAAATGATAATTGTCCAAGAATCGTGAATATTTACAAAATCTCAAACAATTTCGTACATATAAATACTTACAGTTAGCTTCAATTCAATACCCAGAGATAAAGGCTTCTTTTTAAAAATGTATAAAATGTTTTTAGATCAATTCTTTCTCAAAAACCTGGTTTACAAAAACATGGCTTCAAAACAAACACTGGGCCGCTTATATATTTAAGAATGACCTTCGAAATAAAAATAACAAATAATTTTTTTAATAGAGAAGGAAAATGTGGTAAAAATAGTTTATCTAATATTTTTACGACCCTAATAAGTAAATGGAATTGGACTTCTTTCATTGTTTACGAAGGATATTTGATGAGGAAAATTATCTATCAATATTTCATTGCTCTAAGCGATGCTTAATCAACTCATGGAAAGTTCAACATGTGACGAAGTGGAGAAGCTAAAGTATTCAAGCTTGGCTTATGCTTACGTTATTGATTTATTTTACCTGTTATGTTCATGAGACAGAGAATATTTTCTGTAGTCTGATAGAATTTTCAAGACTTTAAAGGAGAAGGTAAATGCCACTCATAATCTTTAGACAGCTGGACAGGTCTGGAACAATCACTAGATTTAGCTACGTAGCTTGATTTACCTACATAGCTTTATTTACCTACCTGAGGTAGCTTTATTTAGCTACCAAATTGATCTATTTCTATTAAAAAGCATTTTTCTCAGGGTGTGCAGACAACATCATTTTGATGCAGTGATCATTTCCAACTTTGAACACAAAACAACTCGTGAAAAAATCCCTCTTGAAAAAATATCTTTTTCTGCGCAATTGCAATCAAAGTTCTGAAAGTTTTGGGGCTATGTATAACAGTTGGAACAGTTACTCCTTGAATGAAATGACAAAGAAGTCCAGTTCTGGTTAACACGATAATAGGTCGGTAATTATTTAGCACATTGTGAAGTAATCATACTCAGTCATGCCTCACCGCACCTCACCGTATGGTCAGATAACCAAACATTGGAATTACATGTTTTGCTCTAAATTGTCCAAACGCAGCAATGTATAAACTATCTCTGCTTTGAATTGTTTTTTAAAGCCTCCCAATTAAAAATATCAATAGTCATTTAATTGCGACTTTTTGTCTCTTTTTAATAAATAGAAAACTTTTGAAAACTTACCTTGAAATAGCTAAATAAAGCTACCTGAGGTAGGTAAATAAAGCTACGTAGGTAATTCTACCTACGTAGCTAAATCTAGTGATTGTACTGGACCTGTTAGACATGCACATGCTGCTGTCTGGAGACAACCACTGTCACCCCTACTAATGTGTTCGGAACCCTTTATTTTTCGGTGTTCTGCAAATTATAAAACCCGATGAGTTCAGAGTACTGCTCTGGTAATGGCTCTGGCGGAGTTAGCGAGACTTCAGCGAGATAGGGTAAATTATTCACGGAAATGTGGCTAGGAATTGACTGGCACGTGGAGGCATAGTAAACAGAAAAGTTATGTTGCGTTTCAGTTTTCACCACCCTAGAATCAGCTAATAATGTCTGTAGAAATGTACTTCAATCAATCGATCTCTTATACATTCATTCAAACTTAAATACATATTAAGTATTCTCTATAATACAATTTTCTGCAGTCATGAATTAAAATTTCTTATTGGACAAATATTTTGCATGGGAACTGGGACTATATTTTTTGGCGTCAGATTAGCAAATGTGGCACCAGCATGATTTTAACTGACCAATCAGCTGAATGAGTATTGCATTATGGGTTACTACAAAAACATGAATTTCACGCTTGATAAAAAGGAAAATCTTATGGTAAATGAAAGGAATTTTTAAAAATAGTATTTTCATGCTCATAATGACAAACAGTTCATTTGTTAAGTAAACGGCGGAAGTCTAGGTAAAAATGCAAAAGCAATTTGCGTCTGTATAATTCCTTTGTTGTACTATCGGTGAATACAATTTCCAGAAATTCCCTGGCCAAAATGTGGTCACGAACGTAAACAAAGTTTTGTCCATTTAAATGCATAAGAGATGCTGCTCTTTTTCCTTACCCTTGAAGCGCTGGTGTTCTGAACTAGACATGCACAAACCATATATATAGCTACATTTTATAAAACATTTTTTTCCATTCATCAACATCTTTCATAGTTTCCTATCTTTGTATTTTGTTCGTAAGAACATTTTCTTTATTTTGCAGTCCATTAACATGATCGTAGATTGACCTGAACTACATGTTCGAAGTAAAATGTAAACATGTATTTGGCGTAAACATTGCTTTTCATTCATTGGTCAGTTGCTCGTGGTAAGATCCTCTGTGCGCATTTATAACAATAGCCATATAAGGCAAACAAAGGTTTGTCAGTGTAGATGATAATGCACACTTTTTACCAGTGAATCGGTCACTAGAGAGCTCAAATTTTCACCGAAAAGCATAAGATAAATTGTTATTTTGACAGAGAACCTTTTTTCTGTTGAAAATCGTGAAAGTCTTTCAGAAAGGCCTGGAAACATTTATTACAGGACATGTTATCTAAAGAAACATGCTATAGCAATATCATGTTTACTGCCAATTTTATTTATAAAACCCAGTTCTACCCTATAACCTTTGAATAGATCAACCTAAACCACGTGTCTTGAATTTAAATCACAATAACATTAGTAGGGATGACTGTGTCATGTATAATTAGGCCTAAATTAATAGTTTAACATATTATGTGAGAATCTGACGACTTTGATGCAGTTGATATTTTGCATATCTTGGAGCTTTATTTTAATTTGATTCAATCAAGAACATAGCTACTGGTTACATGTTTTATTGTCTTGATCACTCTTTGAACTGTTGAACATGATAAAATATAGGCCTAGCCTGTTTTCAATTTGTTTTTGTACACACTCAGGCAGGTTTCATATATATTATATTTCCTTTTTTTCTTTCCATAAGACACTTAACTTGATTTAGGACACCCCAACTTCAAACTCGCATGGTGTACATTTGTTCATCATTACCAGTTTCGATTGACTTTCAGCTCACCTAAGTCAAAGCTTAAGGCTCATACAAGTGAGCTCTTCTGATCAATTTGTCCATTGCCTGTCATCATTGTTGTATACTTTTCTGACCCTATGTATGCGAAGGAACAGTTGTTACCCATTTTTTTATTTACTGAAGTCAGTTGTGGCTGAGATACAAACTCACGACCTACCGATCGTGGAGCGAATGCTCTTAACCATCACAGAGCTACCGTGAACGGTCTTCTGATGAAGAATAGAAAAGCTATTTGTCATATTGATATAGAAGTAACCTAAGGTAGTTTTGATTCAAGTTAGTTCAAATTCTCCCTAACTCTAGACACATTCTTTAACCAAGTGTATATTTTATCCACCTCCCAACCTTTTATATTTGTCTTTACAAACCAATAATTTGCTTGTTATTTGAAAGTTTTGGCCACCCGACAAAAAAATTAACAAGTGAGTTTATTGGTCTGTAGAGATGACTAATATTGGATGGTAGGTGGATAAACTATACATGCAGGTTGGTTAAAAAAAGTGTCTATAGAATTAGGGAGTGACAGGTACTTGATTGACCAATGCTGGACAGTAGAGAAATTCTCCCCAGCTGTGTGCAGAAAATCTTGTGCTGTAAATAGCACTTTATTTGCATTATGGGATCTGTAGCATTATATTCAAAGACTAAAATACAAAACCATATTGCTACAGTTCTGAAGCAAGTTCAAATCATAATCCTAAGGGTAGGTGGGGCCACAATGAGGGAGTTTTATATAGGAGTATATTGAAAAAAAATACTGAAAAATTTTCTTTTCAAGAACAAAAAAGCCATCATGAGTCATATTAATATAGAAGTATGTTTAGGTAATGCACATTTGGGTTTATTCAAATCATCCCACGGGGGGTTGGCTGGGGCCACAACAGGGAATATCAAAGTTATAAAGTTATAAGAATATAAAGTATGTTTCAATAACAATTTTCTTTTTGAGAACATCAAAGCCAGTCATAATTATTCAGAAGCATCCTTAGATAGAGTAGTTAATGCTATTTGTGTAGCTCTGAAATGTCAATGTTAACAAAGTTTTGACACCTTTAGTTCCTTTTAGTGACTTGATACCTTTCCTAAAAAAATAGTTGGGGGCATTTGTCCATTTTGGACAGTTCTAGGTTAGTTTCAATAACTCTATTTTGTGTTGTTACATGACCACTGCATCAGAGGTTCTGATGTAAAGATGATGCTATGTTGGTCATGTTTTTTGAATTCTTTTAAAATATTGATTCTTCTTTTCATCTTCTACAGGCATTCCTGTAGGTATTTATCAGACAAACATAAAGTATGGTTATTTTGAATTTAAGGTTTCCTTCCAAAATTGAAGTTTAATGTCATGGGAGCCGGGTAAGGACAGGTCTTTATTGATCATACTAAGTGCTTAGATATAATGAGAAAGACTGCTCTATTCTCTTGTTGTTTATTATGTTTTTCTTATTATATAATTATTTATAATTCTAATGCTCCTCTACAGGGTTGAATTATACAGTGTACTCCAATGACTATTAAGGTTCTTGTACTGGTTCATTGCTGTTGCAAAGTTTTGGATTGAAAAGTAGTTTTTATTCAATGTTGCAGAGTATGGAAAGTGAAATGTCAGATTCTTTGCAAGAAGAATTATTAAAGAGACTTGATGCCTATGGAGAGAGTTTGATGGACAATGACGATTATGAAAATAGAGTTAAGCATGCAAAGAAGATCAAAAAGAGAAAGAAAATTTCAGCTGAGGAGAATGACTTCACTGCGGAAATTCACACAAAGAAGAGGAAAAAGCGAAAGAAAAATAAGGCAGATAATGGAAACACACCTGCTGAAACAACTGTTGAAGAGGAGCAAACTAAAATGAGTGGAAAAGAAAAAAAGAAACAGGAGATGAAAGATGCACTTGGGCTGAATGATATGGATAAAAGCGTGATAACTCCAAATGTGAGTGTTATGAAATCAGACAGGAATGGTGATATAAAAAATCCAACCAATACAAAGGTTGTAGTGTACAACAGACCAAAATCAAAAAAGAAAGAAGAAGAAACAAAGGATGTCAATGAAAAATCTGAAGAGGCATCAGCTCATGTGATTGATTTAAAGTCAGCTAGATTGGACGTACAGAAATTTGGAATCAAAGGATTCAGTGAGGAGAAGAAAGACGCAGCCATGGAATCCTTACTGGTTAAACTCGGAGCAAAACCCAAGAAGAACAAGTCTCACAACTACAAGGAATATCAGGAAATGGTAAAAAGACAAAAAGTAGAGGAGAGAGAAAAAAGAGAACTGGACAGGAAGCTGGGATACAAGGTCCAGAAAAAGGTCATCGCCAGGAAGAAAGATCGGAACGATGTCGGGCGAGTGGACGGACAGGTCGGGAAGTATAAACACGGTGTCCAGTTTGTGACAAAGCAGGACTTACAACCAGGAGGGAGATCAGTGAAAAAAAGGAGGAAGAAAAAGTTCTAGGATATCTGAAAATTGTATTTGATTTGTATGAAATTTTTCATTTCTTAATTGTATATACTTGTGGATAATTAACAAAAGTTAGGCATAAAAATTATTGTCTGAAAATCTTTTGTGCAGCTTTTTTTTACAGTCAGTGGAATTTGGTTGAATGAGATGTACTTAGTATGTATTATTAAAATTTGATAGTTAAAGAAAGTTCAAAGGTATATAATTGTAATTTTATCATATTGTGTTCTGTACTTTTTGAAATGAATTGCATCATTTGGTCAGAGACTAAATATTGCAAACTTTGGTGAGCCCTATTGGTTATTACATTTACCATATTGGTGTGAATATCTATTTTTTTGTTGACTGTGATTAAATACACCAATGACTAAGCATTAATAGACATTGAAACAAGAATCCTGCTGAAGTATAATACCTAACACATACTGAGAAGTTATAACGAGGGATGTTCCATATATGGTTAGCTCTTGGACAAACGTGATAGATAATTACCTTTTCGTACATGAAGGGTGTGGAATGTTATAATTTCCACAGGTATTTATTGATTGACTTTTCTGTCCATCTATCCGTTGTATGCCTTTATACTAGTAAATTTTGCAAGCACCCGATTTAGTCATATGACCTTTTGCCTTTTTTGTCCATCCTCATATCAGTCTGAAAAATGTTAAATGCTTCTTCTCCTTGGATCTTCTGAACCAATTTTAGCCCAGTTTTTTTTTTATTAGATGCTCTAAAATCTTTGAGTAAAGGAGAACCAAAAAATCAAATTTATGAGCTTTTTCCCGTAGAACATTTTGGATGTGGCTGATATCATCAAAATTCAAGCTCCTTAATACAAAACAACAAGCAATAAAAGTGTTGACAATGTGAAATTCATGGCCCCAGGATGAGGGGTTCTGGTGATATGTGGGGCTCTATTAATCCTTTGGTGAAAATGTATAATTTTTTCAAAATCTGCTGCTCCATAAACATATCGCAGACAAACTATTTTCACGGTTATGACAAGCTAGGATATTTCTACCTAAACTGTTAAATTTAGCTCTCTGGTGCTGGATACTAGCAAAATAAATTCATCTTGTATTTTTTTTAATACTTCTATAGTTTTGGTGTTTACTTAAAATAAAACTTAAGAATATACAAAGACATAATTCTCTTTATTATTTCTTGATTTTGACAGCAAGATCATTGCCATGGTTCCATAAAACAGAAAATTCTTCAAGAATGTAATTTGTTATATTTTAATCGCATTTTAAAGTGGCACAGTGACGTAATAAAATACAAATGTAGAATTTTCGTTTTTTGTTCAATTCCTTAAAGTATTAGGTTTCAGAAAATTACAGGTTTCAAGAACCTAAAAATTAAATTTTTATGAAAAAAATTTTTTCTGTCTGCCCCAAACTATTGAAAATTATTCATACGCGTGTGCAGAAAAGTGTTTAATAAGTTTCCATAGTTACCATGGTCTCAGGTATCCACGAATGAATATAAGTAGACCAAAAAATTTGATGTAATCTTTTTAAAAAGTTGTAAGAACATATTTCTCACCTTTGCATGCTCCAGTTGAATTTTGTTTACAAGTTTGAGCTAAAAATAAGAGTAGCGTGACCTTGACATATACGAAACAACGAAACGGTTAATACAACCTTTGTTTTTCCGGCACTTGTATTGTGCAGTCAATTCTTGCAGTTGAATTGTCATATCTTCGCATAATTTGCGCAAGTCTTTCTCTGTATGCCACAGAATCTTAAAATTAAGATATGATTTTGACTCACTGTGCCGCTTTAATATAAGTAAGTTTATTACAGACTAAAGCTCATCTGATTTTAAACTGAATTCAATGAAATTAGGTATAAAAGTAGAGAAACCAAGGTTCATATATTTTTTATTGATGTTGCCACAGCTACGCTATTTTTGTCTTTATTTATAAGTGTTATACAGTTCAATTTTTTGGTAAAGATACACACTATAATGTTGGAGGATGCTTGGTACCTGGGTAAAGCATGACTATATATATATACATTTCAATTTAAAGTAAAGTTAGGATCAGGTAAAGCTATATATATATAAAGAGGACTCAATTTTTAGGGAGTATTTTGTTAGAGCTAGGGTATAAAAAGAGAAAAACAGCTGTAGACTGTTAGAAGGGTGGCTTTTCAGATCATTGCTTTACTATTTAAATATTTGTTGAAATATATATTTAAATGGAATAGAAAGATTTTATTTAATTTCATATTAACTATACTACATTCTTTTTTCAGCGTATTAAAACTATATATTGAACAAAGATTCCTTAATATAGATACTAGCTTGGAAGTTTAGCTCTAATGAAGTCAAGGACTGAAATATGTGCATTGTGTTAGTTTAATTGATATGATTTATATATTCTGAGTATTAAGAGGATGGTACTCTAATGGTAATCTATCATGTTTTATTATCTCTTAAATTGATGTATGGATTACTGTTAACAACCCTTAATTTTTATTTATCCAGAAGGTTATTAGCACAGAATATTGAGTGGATGCTGACGTTAAATTAATTAGTGTTTTTCTTTCCTTTCATTTTTGTTAAATTCAACTCATACCTTGATGTGAATCATTTACTTTAAATGGAAGCTGATATTTTTTGTTAGAATTTTTTGATTAAACAAGTAAATTGCAGGATGCGACCAGGGTCATTTACCTTGAGATCCAACGTGGTCGATGAAAGCTTTGCCAGGTCATGGAAAACTCAAATGTCAACATGGGAGACAGGACGTAGACTTTAAAGTCCATTTACATGTGATTGTTTATGGAAATATTGACACTTTTTAGGAAGTTTTCATCGCTGTTTAATATTTGTCTAATACCTTATATGACGGCTTGAGTTTGTTGGGCCTTACCTGTGCTAATTGCAGGTAAGATGATTAATGGCGGTAATTAGGAATGACATGGGCAGGTTTGATTGTTGATTTTTCATGTTTGATGCCTTCCTAGGAATGCTCGCTGGGAATTGTCAGTTTTAGGCTTTCTTTTCAAGGATTTTACATTTTCATGGTTGTATATCTGAATTTTTTTTTCAGACGTAGGAGTTTGTGTGAATTTGTTCCTTCTTAGATGGAAAGTTTATAATAGTTCATAAGGTAAGTAAATACAATTACTGTAAATGTTTATCTTATCTTCTTGAAAAGCAAATACTGATATTTAAGTACTTATGTTACCATAATATTTAAAAGAGTCATGTTTTCAAGCTACAAAACACAATTTGTCCCTAAGATGTATATATTTGCATTGATTTTAAGAGCACTGGACCTTCCCTCCCATTTACACCTGCCATCTGGCTCTTCAGAACAAATCACAAGGTCTATGCCTTGCAAAATTTATTAAAAGTTTCTTTCTTTGGATAAACAAATTGATTATTACCAAAAAAGTATATGTAAGTACATGTCTTAGTAAATACACAAAGTCTGTAATTGCATGGTGTAATTATACAGTTAGGAAAACAGCTTTCATTGAGTTTTGGGTCACCAAGAAGATGTTCATTGGTAGAGGGTCTAGTTTATTTCTCTGCTTCTTTCGGAAATTCAAGTTTCATGTATCTGGGTAGGGGTGGGAGGTGGAGGTTAAATAGTACAGGTACACCACCCATTAAACAGTACAGGTACTGTCAACAGAACAGAAACCACAAATAATTTGATTTTTTCTTAATCCAAGGACCATTCATGGTAAGTTAGTTGATAGACAACTTACTTCCTGATTGGGAGGTCGTGACCTTGTGATTTGTTCTGAAGAGTCAGATGACAGGTGTAAATGGGAGATGTACCTGTACTGTTTAACCCCCTCCTCCCACCCTTACCCAGTGACACATATAAAATATAAGGATTAACAAAGACACAAGGGGGGGAGGTGTCAGAACCCAGGATTTGACCCAAACCTGCCCATGAATTATCTGTATGTTAATCATTACTTTTACCAAAAGGTCCAGTATTCACCTGCAGAACAATGACATGATTTTTTTTTTTATTATCTAAAATATTATGTCACTGTGATATTTTATTCCATTTAGGCAATACTTGTTTAGCTATGGAAGAAAAAGTTAATTAATGCTGACTTTTAGAAATGATCAGAATCTAAATATGCATCCAACTCAGCAATTTAGTTTACCTGTTTTGTAAATGTAAATTACATTCTCATCCCTTCTGTATGTGCAGTATGGTTAGAGTCTTGTGTTGACATTGCTCTGGTGCACCTAGTACATATTTGTACTTTAGCTGTTTCTTTGGCATATTTATTCATAATAAGTGATTTACTAATGAATTGAAGGTCACTTAGGTGAGAAATCTACATTTAATTTTTTTATGACTTTATTCATTTGTTTTGCAGATACAGGTATTTTCAATTCCATCTCCATTTTATGATTTTTTGTCTGGGAAAAAAATTAACATAATATTGCTAAAAAGGTAAATTTTAATGTCTGTGTGTTTTATTTTTGATTATTATATAATTTTGAATTTTTTTCAGTGCATGCATAAATAAATTTTTCGAATGCCAATGTTGAAGAGCGTTTCCTCCACATATTTTTTTATCCTTCACCTGGTAATACCAATTTGCTTTGAGAAACCATGTATAAATGAAATGTTTACTGCTTTTAACTTTAAAGTTTTTTTTTTTTTATTAATGACTGAGTGAATCCAACAAACTGCTGGTAAAAAAATGGTGACGTATATTTAAAAAAAAGGGTGTGAATTAAGTATAATGGGTTCAGATAATCTTCCCTACATTAGAAAACTAGGTAGTCGGAAAAGTGATGCAAAATTGTGTAAATTATTGGCCAATAAGACGACAGTCGTCATAGTCATGACAGATTTCGTAACAGGGCGTGATTCTTGTTTGCATGGGTATATCACCTGTATGTAATCTTATTAGTCTTAATGTGCTCATCAGTGATTATAGTAATATACCAAAAAAGTCATGTAAATCTTTGTGAACATTAGAGCATGATAGATATCAATTGTCATATATGGTAGTTCACACATATTTTCAACACATTGATGCTCAGTATTTGTGAATTGAGCAGGTATTGATGAGAAAGCTGACCACCATAGCACAGCATTAATAGGGAGAGTTACCAGACCAACGAAGCGCGGCTACAGTCGAGGGATTGGAGGCAAATACAATTTAATGTGCACAGACCATCAATAGCAGCCGCGATGGATCATTTATTGACAGGTGAGTTCATTGACAGATATTCTGTTTAACCTGGGCTAGAGTAATTATTTAAAAAACAGTAAAAGAAGGTAACGCTAATGGCACATAAATGGTGGCCTTTAGTTATCCCCCGAGTTTAGGACAGCATGCATTACACTGGAATGTTCTCATTGACAGGAAGGTTTAACACAAAAGGTTGCTACTTCTTGTTTGTCTGGTGTTTACATTGATTAAAACATACAATTCATCTTGTCTTGGACAGATATTGATGAACCATCATTGCTTTTAAGAGAATTTTTAAAAGCAAGTACACACAGTACTGGTAATTTAAGAGATGTTAAGATTTTAATGGAAGTAAAGAAATTTCTTAAATAGATGCTTTGTTGTTATCAAGACATTTAAGACCTTTTTTTTAAAAAAGAATATGAATTAGAAGCCTGATGTCTCGTGTACATTCTAAAGCCAAATACATCTCCATCCTGCATCTCAATGGACACTTCACTCAACTTTCTGTAGATTTTATTCTGATAACTAATGTTTTTTGTTGATATGGTCAGTTTTGGGATGACAGTACAGTTCAATATGCTAATGAAATGGACAAATGTCCATGGCATATGCTTGTACCAAAATGATAAGTTTTGAAATGAAATTTAAGGCCTTTTCCCCCCAGAAATACATTTTTTAAAATCATGATAAACAAGGCTTTTTGGACAGGAGAGTGTAGGGTGCAATTGTAGCCTCATTTTAAAAGAACTCTATAATGTCCCATTTTGAAGATTAAATAAATTTAATATTTATCAATTATCTGTTTTAAGTGAAACTGCACAATTTTGTTTCATATACATGTGACTCAGATCCTCATTCACCCCCCCCCCCCAACCCCACACCACCCTCCTTTTATGAGGAACCTGGGGAATGCCCTGATAAAATAAACTGTAAAACCTCTTAAATGTTTGAGAAGAAAAAACCTTTGAAAAGTCAAGATCTTTAAATAACTCAATTTCTTCAAATGCCTTTGAGGAAGAGAGAATATATATTTTTTTATATTTCCTTTGATTTTTCTTAAGAAAATCTCCCTTTATGTATATATACTAATAATGATTGGGTAGGCTTAGATAGCTAGACACTTTTTACTTTGATTTCCTCTAACAGTCTTTTTAAAGTATCAGGATATATGTTGGTATTGAAATTATTCAGGATATTAATATTATTTCTACTAGAACTAAATACTTGGTGTATTCATTGATCATTATAGGCTTGGTTTTTCCAAAAACCTTTAAAAAAGTAGTGATGCATTACGTGTCCTTTTTTCCTGAAAGTTTTAAAATAAATTGTAACATATGATGACAAATTACCACTGATGTATGTTCTACTAACTAGAAAATTTTAACAAATCATTTGAATTAAACAATTAAAGTAAGACCTGTAAAAAGGTGGATTTAAACTTCATAAAAAGCTATATAGTTCCATGAATTCCCTTCTAATATTTAACAAGAGGCCCATGGGCCACATCGATCACCTGAGTAACTTGGGTGATGCAGATCTTTACCAGATTCTCCCTCTTGCTATACCTATCATGCCCATCAACCCCTTCCCTTTTTTATTTTAAAAGTTTAGAATCTACACTACCCAAGGATGCTTCCACATAAGTTTTAGCTTTCCTGGCCCAGTGGTTCTTGAGAAGAAGATTTTTCAAGATTTGTTTTATATATTTCTATGTAAAACTTGGATTCCCTATTGTGGCCCCGCCCTACCCCCGGGGGTCATGATTTTAACAATTTAATATCTGCACTACCCAAGGATGCTTCCACATAAGTTTCAGCTTTCCTGGCCCAGTGGTTCTTGAGAAGAAGATTTTTCAAGATTTGTTCTATATATTTCTATGTAAAACTTGGATTCCCTATTGTGGCCCCGCCCTACCCCCGGGGGTCATGATTTTAACAATTTAATATCTACACTACCCAAGGATGCTCCCACATAAGTTTCAGCTCTCCTGGCCCAGTGGTTCTTGAGAAGAAGATTTTTCAAGATTTGTTCTATATATTTCTATGTAAAACTTGGATTCCCTATTGTGGCCCTGCCCTACCACCGGGGGTCATGATTCTAACAATTTAATATCTGCACTACCCAAGGATGCTTCCACATAAGTTTCAGCTTTCCTGTCCCAGTGGTTCTTGAGAAAAAGATTTTTTAGTGACCCCACCCTATTTTTGTCTTTTCTGGATTATCTCCCCTTGTAAGGGAACTTGGCCCTTCATTTTAACAATTTAAACTCCCCTTCACCCAAGGATGCTTTGTACCAAGTTTGGTTAAAATTGGCCCATTGGTTCTTGAGAAGAAGTTGAAAATGTGAAAAGTTTACAGACGGACGGACAGACGGACGGACAACGAAAAAATCAGAAAAGCCACTTGAGCCTCAAAAACAAATTTATAGACTGAACACACAAACCGTCTGCATCATAGTTGAAAGCAAACATGAAATGATGATGTCTTCTCACTTTGTGTTGTCTTACATACCTACCAGGATACCTGAAACCTGATTAAGTCTTCAAAAGAAATTCAAAAATCATGAACAACAAACCAGTTAAAAAAAAAACATAAAAAAACAAAGAAACACACCTATCATGCAACTAATGCATGTCACATAAAGCAAATAAACACCAGACAAACAACATAAAACAAATACATTTGACTCAAAACAAACAACTTAAAACAACTATCCGTTACTCAAATCAAACAACATAAAATAACTACTACTAACTTCAAACAAACATTGCCTATAACGCCAATCAAATAGTGTCAAACAATTACTGAAAACAATTAAGCATTAAAACAACATAAAACAACTCCATATAATACAAAACAAAGAACATAAAACAACTACCAGTACTCTTAACTCCAAACAAACAAGTGTAACACCAAACAAACAACCTAAAACAAGTGAAAACAACTAAGCAAATAACATAAAACAACTACCTACAACACAAAACAAACAACATAAAACAACTACCTATAACACAAAACAAACAACATAAAACAACTACCTATAACACAAAACAAACAACACAAAACAAGTACCTATAACACAAAACAAACAACATAAAACAACTACCTGTAACACCAAACAAACAACATAAAACAACTACCTGTAACACCAAACAAACAACATAAAACAACTACCTGTAACACCAAACAAACAACATAAAACAACTACCTGTAACACCAAGCAAACAACATAAAACAACAACCTGTAACAGCAAACAAACAACATAAAACAACCACCTGTAACACCAAACATAAAACAACAACTTGTAATACTAACAACCTGTAACACCAAACAAACAACATAAAACAACTACATGTAACTCCAAACAAATAACATAAAACAGCTGGTTAACTTGTGACACCAAACAAAAATCATGAAGCAACTACCTATAACATAAAGCAAACAACATAAAACAACCACCTGTACATAACACCAAACTATCAACATAAAACATAAAAAGCAAAGATTTACATAAGAAAGAAATCTTTAACACAAAGCAAACTGCATATGATATTAAAAGAGAAAAAAAGTACAAAAATACCAGCTGGTAAACAAAACTTAAAAAAACAACAATAAAAAACAAACCAAAGCCCAACAACAACATAAAACAAACATCAAATAAGCAACAGCACCATTAGGTCTTTTAAGGAGGCAACAAGTCAGCAAAAGGTCAACCATGTCAAAAAGTTATATACCGGCACATATAAAGGAAACAACATCAATAAACTTTCACCTGCAATTAGGGAACAAACTAACCTGCAACACAAAACATTGTCATTATATGTTATCTTCATTAATTTAAAGCAGCAATTGTATATAACACCAAACAACATCACTGTCCCCTGGCAGTGAAGTTGGAGGGAATTAATTGTAATGCATATATGTAAATATGTAAGTGTGTGGGTGAGTTTTTTTTTTTTTTACTTCGGAAACAATAATTTATATCAGAGTTGATCTGCTCTCTTTTATGGTGTAAGGGAATGGTCTGCTTTGTGATGCTGGTTTTTTAAAACTTCACCCGCAAGAAAAGAACATTACTATCTAACACCAAACAACAACATCATTATTGGAGGAACAAATGTGTACAGTAACAACAAACAACATCAAACAAACAACTTTCACCTTAAGAAAACAACATTTTAAAGTGTATCAGAATATAAGAAATTATTATATGATTGAACATGTGTTAAACAAAGTAATATTCTTTATATGGTCATATGCTAATTGTATGCTAGATTGCATACCTCTAAGTACTAGTAATTAGAGTCAGACACAGATATAAGCTCAAATAATAAATTACCACCATGTGTAATCCAATATCATTTAAAAAAGTTATTGGTGTTCAAAACATAGTGAGCATCAAAAAAAGTTTGTGCATACTTATGCATGAATCACTGATCAGATTTGATTTTTAAAATGTGATTAGTGTTCAATCAATTCAGTGAGTTAATGTGGCATTACTGCCAAAGTAATGTGCAGCTGTTGCTTTTAGTTTTGATTAATTGTACAGAGGTTTGAAGTTGACCTATTTAATCACTGATATTATTCAATGGGACTCTAATGTACCATCAATTTCTTTGCATTTAATCAATTTCAATTAAGAAAAATGAACTAATGACTACTGCATTGAAAAATTGCGTTGACTTTATATATATATACGGCCTTCTACAAAACTTATAAATAATATTAGTAGAATTTTATAGACTGCCAGCTATGAAAATACAAAAATTATAAACTTTGAACCTGCTACATAGAGAAATCGTAAGGCGTATTTTAGCAGCCGGCTATATACACATAGCATGGATAATTTAAATGGCCCTCTAATCTGGATTTGAATGTTTTCTATAAATACATTATGTACATCCCCATTGTATACATTAAAAGGTAGTGAAATTGACCAGTTTATTTCAGTGAAGTGTTAAATTAGGACAAAGTAACAAATTTTGTCATATTTTGTGCAATTAATCGTAAATGTCCTGGGAGTCTTAAGAAGAACTGACCAGTGAGCTGTAGATATTGATTCCTATGTTTGTTTTGTGGGGAGAAATTTCTTTCAACTTTATGGTTGCTTTTCATATTTGGAATGAGGATTAAAAGAACAAATTTGCAAAAATTTTCCTTGATAGGAAAGTTAATAACTTGTCACAAGGTGCAAGGATTTTATGGTGAGAGGTTTGTTCAATGTTTATTTTTTTCATTTGTGTAAAAATCATTTCAAATAGCTTTGCAAACCATGGAGTTATGTGATGTAATGCAAAACTAAAATTTTGATCTTAGAACTATTGAAAATTTGAAAGTGCACATCTTTATTTAATGTGTATACAAATGTGATAGGTTTTATACATTCATTTTTTTAAATGGATGCTTGTGAAGACCAACAATCGGTACTTAATTTGGCACCAACATCAGACCAATGTTTGATAATCAATAGTCCTTTTTACACTGGTAAATCAAGTATATGTGTGATTGACTCTTTCAGTATAGAAAACATCCTGCATTTGGAATCTTTGGAGTGAATGCCCTAAGAGTTGATCACATAAAAAAATTGTCACAACTGTGTTTTTCTTGGAGGTTGTTGACTTTTTGCTATTAATCCAAAGATCCTTACCAATGGATTATTAAATTTCACAATGGGAAAAGTCTTCTCAATTATGAGATTATTTTATCTGATCTTTATTCAGACACCTCTTATAGGTTGTGTTTTAAAAGTCACCTGAATCGTTCATTTTGTATATTTATTATATTAGTGTACAGATTTTGATAGTTTTCATTTAATCCCAAGTGTCGCATTTTAGAATTTGGCGTTCATCTTGAATTTGATTGTAGACATTTAGAAGTAAACAAGTTATCAAATCAGATAATAACTTCTTAAATCTGTAAATGAAACATCTTTGTCATAAATAGTTTTGTAAACAGGTCACAGAGAATTCTAATTCCCGTTGGTTTAGCGAACCATTTTTCTCTGATCAATTTATTTCATACCTGGGTGAAACACAATGGTGGGGCTTTACAATTTGTTGTTCTTTGATGTTCATCAGATCCAAACCCTCAGAATTTGAGGTATTATAATTATTATTTGGATCGACATAATATGTTGGCCTGATATCCATTTTGCATTCTTATTTTTCCTTTCTTCCTAAGTCCTCTTACATGTTACTTTGTGTTAAAGGTAGACATATACCTGTATGAGGTGCCCTTCCATTTATATCTGTCCAAGAGTAAAATTAGATTGATTACTCAGGCCACAAAAGGTGTGAGGTACTTTATTGTAGGTATATAAGTACTTCTATAAGTACCTATTAAGTAACTGTTTTTGATGTGTTAGTTCAAAATACCTAAGTAGCCATAACATGTTATTGGTCATAACTGTCCAATGTCAAAATTTTAAAGGCTGGAAAATGAAATGTAATCGTGTACTTTTGCTGTCAGACCATTTTCTCTAAAGAGCTTACTACAAGTTCGAGGGGATGTAGGGAATAATCATTGCTTCATTAACTGACTCGTGTGGCCTGAGGCCAGATAGAACTTAACATTCAGGATCAGGAATATTTCCGCATTGCAGATATTTTGTTTTTGCAAATATAAAAGTCATTAGCAGCATGCAGTTTTAAATAATTAATTGCATTACCATTTATACAGATTCAAGATAATTTGTAGATTTTATTGTCATTTAACATATATTATAGATTGCGTATAAATGTTGTAGGATGAATTTTAATGAGTTACTCCTGCAGAATTTTATCACTTTTTAATTTATTTTATGCATATTAACATCATTTGATATAAAAATACTTGAAGTGTGTAATCTTATCCTATTTATATCGTATATAACAAAAAGTTTTGCGAAGATTTATCATCAAAACCGTCCACTGTCATTTATGAATCAATGAAATTATAGTGATATAAGTGTTCCATAAATCACCTTTTATTTGTGAGAATTTTTTTTTTTTTACCAAACATTCACAAGACTTTTTGCTCACAAAAATTTCATTGTCATACTTACTTATTTTCCAAAAATTGTATACAAAAATTGTATACCAAAAGATTGTACCTGGTATGTAAAAAAATATCAGAGAGAAAAAGAATGTGTGTCTCTTAAAAATAAGTGCTGGAAAAATTTGGTTAACTACAATACTTAAAGTCCAGATAGGTCATTTAAGGTTATACTAGCTACTTTATCGTCCATTTGTGAATAATGAGAATGCATTTTAGAGCAATAAAAACTTAAATCTTCAAACACTTCACAAAGACAATTCACAGACTGCAGACTAAGATCTTTCACTGTAATATTTTTAAGAGTATATTCTGATTTGTAGAAATCTTTGAATGGCTGATAAAAAAAAGAGTGATCTAATATAGCTTAAGGAAAGTGTAAAATGTCCAGCACAAATTTCTGGTGTGTGAGATGTACACTTAAGGTAAAACTTGGCCCTTACTCAGCATGTGAGATCATTATGTTGACACTTCAGACAGTAGAAAGAGGTGATCAAGAGTTCCCTTCATTATATCCTGTCTAAATCAGGGGAAGTAAGCAGGGGGATTTCTTATGTCCCCTACTGTTTTGTACAATAGGAGTATACCTTGAGGTGATATTATGACCCAGCAGGCACATACTGTGCTTCACAGACCACACTTATAAGACTTAAGCCTGAGGTGGCTATATGGATAGGGTACAGTGTATGTTAAAAAACTATGTGGTTTTGTTAGTTTTTGTTCTGATAATTGGCATAGATAGACAAGTTTTATTTTAAAACCATTTCAGGACATTTGTTGAAGGGCACGATGCCCTTTTCATCCATCACTTACCAGTATCTCTATAGTCTTACCTTTCTCAACAAAGTCTCTGAAATTACAATCTTCAGCATCTAGAAACAAGGGCTTGGAGGAGCATTGAAATATAGCATTGGTCCTGAGCAATAAAAACTGAAACATATATTCTTGCTAAGCACAAGTAACATTTACAGTATAAATGCATATTAGAATTAGGGGCATTGCATGAATTTCAACTTTAAAATGTAAAGGATAATTTTAATCATTGAATCTCGGCATAATAATACTGTATACAGGGTTATTTTCATCTCATCTTATTTTCGCCCTTTCACTCTTGCAAACAATTTTGCCCCGTTTTAAATTCGCCCAGTCATAGTTTTGTTTAAGAAATTATACTGTATTCTTTGAATTCGCCCCGTTTTAAATTCCCCCAAATGAGGGTGGGCGAAAGGGGTGAAAATTAAACGAGGGCGAAAAATTCCCTGTATACAGTATTAAAATGTAAAGGATAATATAATCATTGAATGTTAAATTAGCATTAAAATGTAAAGGATAATTTTAAACATTGAATCTTGGCATAAAAATGTAAATAATAATTTTAAAACACAAGGCATTTAGAGCAATGTTAGGAATCAAGTCATTTGATATTAGAGTCCTGAAGCTGAACATTTATAGAGTAAAATATAATTTTGAGATTTAAGGTTTAGAGAATGCACAAAAGTATAGTATTTTCAGGAAAGACCAAGATACTGTAAACCAACTATTATTCACATCATCTTTTATTTGCGATTCATCAGTTTGAAATCAAGTCGAAGCGATAAATTTTCACAAATAAGAAATTAACATTTTCTACACAAGGAAAGCAAAATTTATGGTTTGCGGTGACTAATATTCACGACTTAAAATAGGTAAAGTAAGACTTAAAATATTTCTATCACACAAATAAAAGTTGGTTTACAGTATTACTGTTAATTGTCGCATTTATAATAACTTAAAAGCATACAGTCATATTCTTTATTAATGAATGAATGTCTTCTGTAAAAAAAAAACAAACCACAGTGACACTTCATTAGAAAACACTTGTTAGTAGTTATGTCCTAATCAACAAATGATCTACATGAATTTTAAAACCCTTTAGACTGTAGAACATAACGAGACTTTCATTTAACCCCATAATGATATACTGATTGTTTTAACTATAAAGTGTCAACTGTCCAATTATTATAACCAATACGCAGTCACGATTCAGACAGTCAGAAGAAAAGATGGAACACATCATTAATTTGTCTATTTGAGAACTGTTAGCCTGCTAATTACTAAGCATCCGTAGATTTATAGATTTTTTTGTACCTGCCCAAGGTGAATGCTGAAGCAGATAGCTGTCACAGCTATGGTGGATCATCATGGCGCTTCCACTTCTGTGTCAATGAATGTGGGCTGTTGTTTATTGACAAGCCATTTGACTTTCAGTTATAATTGCACTTTATGTATAATTTACTCTCTTAATACTACGAACTCCACAGTATTTGTACATTCCCTTTCAATTTGATGGTTTCATTTGATAGGATGATCATATGTAAAGATTTTATTTATCCCCTTGTGCTTTGATTAGTGATTCTGTTTCTCTCCAAAAGTGCAATTTTGTCTTCAGTTTGGTAGAAATTCCTAAATCATGATAGGATTGGTTGAAGATAGATATACTTTCAATATAAGTAAGTTGGTTTGATTTTAAATTGTTATTTCGTAAGATATTTTAGAAATGAAAAATATTATATTTTTGTATGTATATTAATTCTGTTGTTTTTTTAATGTGTTTTGACAGTCTCCCCTCCCTCCTCTATCTGGCATCATGGTATAGAAGCTTACAACAAACTCAGCAGCCATGTCCTGCCCACTGACGGTGGAGCAGATCAGCCATTGTAGGCGAGGCTCTGACATTGACCTTCAGGTAATTTTCAGATTTTTTTATTTAATTTTTTTTTTAATAATACCGGGGTATTACAAATTTGAAATTGGCAGCAATCATGAAGGTCATCAAGTTGATTATTCAGTTGTTCTTTATTTGCTTTTCTTTCTCTTATAAGAATATGCACAGTTAGTTGTATAATTCTCTCAGTTAGAATATTCAGATTTCCAACACAGTTTGAAGAATAAATGATTCCAATGTGTTCTGAAATTGGTAACAAGGGACATAATCTAGACTGTTCTTACACCCTGTCATGATGTGGTCAGAGCCATACTGCTATCCCTTTCTGTCTGTCATTCTGAATCACCTTGTTTGTCTGTCAGTAATATCTTTTCTGGACTAAAATGGAGAATAATTTGAAGCTATGTGGCACAAAAGATTGACCTATGAGATTGTCATGACCTTGACTACAGGGTCATTTTGGCAATATCAAGGTCAGTAAATAGTCTAGGTCAAGGTCAGTGGCACATGTGTTGTGCATTTCAAACTTTAACTGACTAAATAATACACTATTCTGTGCTTGGAAATTGTTGCAATACAAGTATAAGGAATCCTTCCCATTTTTTTGTATTTCATTAGTTGGTGTATGACCAGATATAAAACCCTAATATCATAAATTTCCTACAGAAACATTTTCAAATTAATGAACGATGTAGTGTAGATTGAGTTCTTGTTCAAATCTTGGCATTTAATGGCTATAGTGGAGTCTTTATAGAGTAAAAAATTACAGAAATACATCAACTGTCACAAAAAGTGGTCTCAATTAGTTTGTGAATGAGACCCCAGAACTGTAAAGTAAAATTGGAACAAGTGAATAGAATTGGATAGGTTCAGTTTCTTAATTCAACATTTTCATTTGTCAGGAAAAGTGACTTAGGTGAGTTTAGAAGACAGTAAGCCCATTTTAAAAATTTTTGCCAAGTTTTAATAGATCACTACAGATACAATGTATCTAATTTTGCTTTTGAATGGTAGGAGTCTCTGATATTGCGTCATCTCAAGCCACATTTCAGAGTCCGCGTATAGCTCTCTGACCTACCAGAATTGAAGAGGATTGTACAATTTGGCCGTGGTTTGCAATGATGCTAATATTGCATTAAACTTGATCTTTTCTTGTTTACGGTCCATCAATATGACCCTCTGTTTTTATATTTACCTCAGATTTATATCTGTCAGTTTTATTTAAGTACACATTTAGAGCAGTGCATTAAGTCATACATTCTTAATTAATGCCAAAAACAATAAAACAGAACACAAAAGGTAAAATCAGTTTATGTCTATTTTAACTAGGGGTTTATTTCTTTCATTTTGGAGTAAACACTGGGCAGGTGTTTGGAACTCATTTACAAGTGAACATGGAACCTTGATCTTTCCTATTTTTTCAATGGTGCCTATCTTTAATAATTGATTCAATGTATAAAAGATCTTTTATCATTGTGAAAATGGTGTCTTCTAGGAAATTATTTATTTTGTATTTCCTGTACTGTACAAACAGTATTTCACTTGATCAGGGCAAAAATATAAATCCTGAATGAGCAAATCTTTCTGATGCTGAAATTTTGAAATAGACAACTAGAATTTTACATTAGTTTATTTATAATGGTGAAAGCTGCTAATTTTTTTTTGCTTCACTTCCTTTTTTATTCAATAAACCAGGTGTTTGGATTACATTCTTAAGGCACTAAGCAATATTGCAGCACGTTTTACCTCCATATGATACCAGTATAGAAATTCTTTCATATGCACTAACATGTCTTACTTTTTTTAAAACATAATACCAAGTGAATATATCAGAGATGAGACATTTTTTCCTGCAGATATATTAAATTCAGATATATATTAAATTCTCATTTAACCTGTTCCAAGACAATGCCTTAAGGAGCTAAATAAATGCTAAGGTCAGATGTGCTATATTCATCACCTTTTTGGAATATTGGCAAGGAGTTTCTTACAGAAAGAATATGTCAGGTAGTTTTGTAATGAATTTGCACTTGTTCTTTGAACCTACAGTTTCATGTATTGTGCAAGTAACCATTCTGCATCATTCTATTGAAAATTCACCCATGAATTTTAAAAGGCTGCCCATTTCCTTCAGCTTGTTGATTGCTTATAATTTATTATATAAGAGATTAAAATATTAATTCTGCGGAGGCTAACTGGTGTGTCAGTGATAATGAATATAGGTCTCCAATTTTGCTCCAAATTAAGGCTAACATGGTATGGTTGCTATGTAGTGCACTAATCTCTTTGTTTGTCCAGACACAGATTTCAAGCTCTTGTGGCTTTTTTAATACCGTGAAAACATTCAAATTAGATGCTTTTTATGGGGTAAATATAGTCTCCCTCTTAAAGAACAAACTAAAAGAAAATCCTTATATTATGGAGATGTTATTTTTAGAAAAGTAGCTTAAGTGGCAGCATTTGGTTTTACGGAAGTTAAAATTGGCAGTAAGTCTTTATAGTGCTTTACATTAAGTTAATTAACTTCATGTTTTTCTTGAAGTTTATGTAAATTTGCATGCAAAATCTCTATTGACTTCATACAGTTAATGACATAAAATGTAAACTCAGTATGATAAACTAAAATTGCAGTCTAGAAATTTTTCCATTAAATCAAGGGGCAAAAAATTGTAAGTACAGTAGAAACTAGCTATTACACTAAGCATACAGTGTTGCAATTAAACGTCTTGTTTACTGTGCAGATATTTGAGAATTCCTCAATTGGAACAGGTTTTTAGTTTCCTTTGCTACATGACTTATGTTGATAAATGAAGACTTAATAACTGCTTTCTCATTTAAAAACAACCGTTAATTAAGAGACTAGATTGCAGTTTGTTTTCTCCTCCTCTTTTCCAGTGAAACCCTTTACATCTCTGCATGACATTGATAATGTATTCTTGATTCATGATAAAACTTCTAAATATGCCTATATGACCTTGACTTCTAGGATAGGTCCCTACAACAAGACCATCACACTGATTCATAGGTCATTAACAACAAGATACTTTGGAATCATCTTTGTTCATGGGTGATTCATCCATTGATATTTCAATTACATATAGCTGTAGCTAATTTTTAGCTGGTTTAAACAAGCTGCAATTTTATATTACCAGTTATCTAGTCAATACTAGATTTCTTAATGTAAAGTAGGATTCAGCTCAGAAGATGGAAGAGTTTTGTTGACCTTGGACTTTTGTTTACTAGGGACAGTGAATCCCAGTGGAGATTGACTTGATCGAAATGTGATTGTTTTTACAAAAAGAATGACTTGTGAATCAATTAATGCAAGCTTAAATGATTGCACACCTTCAATATGGTATATATATATTGGTGTATATAAATATAAATGATACCTAGATTCTAGGTGTGAAATACTGTGTAGTAGCTGGTAGACAGATGATAGATTAAAGAGGGGCATATTGAAATAGAGGGAATGTAAGTGATTGAATACGCATAAGGTAAGTCGACAAAAGTTACCCAGGGAAAGTAGATGATGGCACTATTAACATTATGATAGAATTTTTTTTGCAGAAACAAGTGAATATACTATTAGCTGTATGCTACATTTTCAAGTGCAAAATTTGTTGAAATTATTATACCACTTCTAAATATTTGATTCTTCTGAGTTCAATATTTCTAGTCATAGGTATATATTTTAAAAATTCTTTTGCTCCAATATAGTCACATGAACATGAAATCATGCATAATCATTGACTGTCAAGAGTTTTTTGTTGAACTGGAAGCTGAGTTAACATGGAGAAGACAGAGTTCATTTCTCCTTGATGGATGTTGGTTCAGCTTTGCAGCTGTTGCACTGTAAAGCTATTGTTCTTACTTTTCATCAATGGGATTTTTACTGTGTCAAGGAAACTATTTTGCATCGTAAGATGCTTAAGCAAATATATTTTTGTAGACTTTTTAAATACACATGGAATAAGTTATAAAAGTACAGGTACATGAGTGTGTCAAGGTAAGCATCTATATAGTGAATTTATTTTGAGATAGGTCTGAGTCCAATTAACACACCTTGATGTCATATCACAGGCCATTAATAGGTGATGTTGGTATGGATTAGAAGACCCCAAGGATTCAATAATCAGCTAACTTCTCCAAACAAGGCTTTAATGGCAGATCTTTGCTTTCCATTATCTCTATGTGTATGTCTATTGGAACATTATAGGAGCCAAACTTCAGAGATCAGGGAAACATTTTTTGTCTTCTATAGCAACACATTGTCTCCTGACACTTCATTTTTCCCTTTTTTGTTTCTTTCTTTCCCACTCTTTTAAGATTAGATTCTACTTGGCCTGTACAGTAAAACTCATTAAGTTTGAATAAGAATATTGCAAATTCACGGATATAGCAAAGTTATATTTTGGATCCCTAACTATATACGAATGTAAATGTAACAAATTTCTTATACCGGCCAATATAACAATTAAATTACAGATATAGCAAAGTAATTTAATCCCAGTAACTTCATTTTGACGAAGATTTACTGTATTACCAGTTCTAGAGCACAGAACAGAACACACAGTTAAAACAAGAGGCCCATGGGCCACATCACTCACCTGAGCACTGTAGCTTGGAAAAAGCAGAAATCAGTTTATTATTGAAAAGTTTAAACCCAAAAGTGGTCCAAACCAATCCTTCAAGGCGAGAGGTTATGATTTGAACAAACTTGCATCTTTACTAACTAAGGATGCTTGCATATTTCTTTGACTACCTGTGGCTTTATTGCCTTTTACATTTGAACTAACATTGTGGCCCCACCTTATGCCCCAAGGGGTCATGACTTGAACAAAATTGAATCTACACTACCTGAGAATGCTTCCATATGAACAGGACTAATCATGGCTTTGCTATTCTTGAAAAGAAGAATTTTAAAGATTTTTTCTACATGTTTCTATGTAAAACTTGGATTCCATGTTGTGGCCCCGCCCTACCCCTAGGGGTTATGATTTGAACAAAATTGAATCTAT